GGTGAGAGGTGAGGAGAGGAGCTCCCGCGCTGTCTCCCCTCCTCACCTCTCACCTGCACGCGGTCGGTGCCGACCGCCTGCCGGTCAGCTCGGTCGGTCGGTGAGGGGACTTTTGCAGAGCTCTGCCCAAGATCGAATCGGGTATCTCAGACACTCCTTTGTTAAGTGAGATTTGCCCCGCTAAACGGAATCAAATTGTAGCATTATATGTCTCTACATACATATATACAAATCAATATGTTTAAACTTATCTTGAATAAGGTTTCATTATATCTAAACTAGTGATGTTAAACTCCCAAAAATCCGCGAGTGAAGCGAGCGAAATTTTTTTTGGTGCTTACGCTAAGCTCAAAATTTAGACGTTTAACTTCAAGGTGAGAGTAAGTGGCAAATTTTGTTTCTATTGGCAGTTTAAAGTCAATGAAAATTACTGCTTTTGTTTGGATTCAAAAATGTGTCCACAGCCGCATCTTGCAATGGATACAAATTGTGTCATGACATTAAAATCCCCAGCTATCCCAGTTAGTTAGTGTGCACATTTATTTTGAATGTTAAGAGGAGAGTATACTGAAAAAAATGACACAGCACCTAATTTAATGGATTAAGATAAAATCTAAAGAATAGACAATATCAAAAAGGTAATTTATAATTGTTGTAGCACTTTCAGGATTAATTTAATCCATAGAATGCCAAAAACCTGTGCGCACAGAAATTTTAAACGTTACGTAAACTTCAAAGTTAAAAAAGATCTGTGCGCAAAGTTTGTTGATGGATTTGAACATTCTATAGCTCTTATTAGTTTTCAGAGTGAGTAGTACTACTGCTATTATAAACCACTTTTACGATTTTGTCTCCTGTTTAGACTTTAAGGATTTCAGTATACCGTCCCCTTAATCAGTGCAAAATTGCAAAAGTTATTCTGTTCTCTAAATTTAGCCACACATGCCGCAACGTATATGCAAATCTAGTAATCGTTGTATCCCAGAGCCACTGTTAAAATGTAAATCTTACAATTCAGACAATTTTGACTGAAGCAAATCTCTCAGAATAAAAAATTCATACTAATGTTTACTCTGAAATATGATAAGTATTATTAGTCACAATTTAAAGGAATTAAGTCTGAATTTCTGGTTTAGACAAGTTCGTTTGAATTTTCAGACTTAAGTATTAGAATTTCGACAAATTTATGTGAAAAGTCCCTAGTCTGCATAAGGTAGTCTGATTTTCAAAAACAAAACAACAGTGAGGGAATTGCGAGCACTTGCGAGTCTGTATGGAGCTGTCTGGAACTACGTGCTTACACGAAGCCGCCACGAACTCTGAGTTTGAAGGTTTGAAGTGTCCGTATAGCAACATTAAGCATTTTTCTCTTTAATTCTAGGTACAGATACCGGTGGGGATCAAATAAAAACGATGTTCACTGCTGCCAAGAGCTTGATGAGTATTATGTCTGATGACGATGACCACTTTGATCCAGAGAAGGTTTTCAGTAAGATCCAAAGTATAGCGACGGCCGTCAGCGCTTCACATTTACAGGTGCATATGTTAATCTACTGTGTATAGCTAACTAAGTTCTTCTGTATCGCGAGAGGCTGTTAGTCTGATCTGAGGGGTTGTTAACTCCTATTGGCCGTGTACGAAGTGATATTAAGTAAGTATTATTAGTGGTAGCGAAGCCTATTACTGCTTACTGCAAAATTAAAACGTTTTATGTGGCTATTTGTCGGTAATCTGTAATCAAGATAACTGGACAACAAACGTTCTTCAAATTTTTATAGCCACTTTGAATCTAAAAAAGCCAGATCTGTAATGATTTGTGTCCCTCTAACTCTACATTTAGCCGAAAACGGTCAAAATTTACAACGCTCAGATAATATCGCAAATTATTGATTTTTCCGACGCGTCCTAAATACAATGTTTTGTCTACGGAGCGACATTTTCTAAATGTCTTGTCTACAAAACGTCGTTTTCGCAATGTTCTATCTGCTTAAGAAAACCATAGCATACAGAAGCCCGCTTTAATGCTTTCTTAAAAGCAGAAGGGAGGGCTAAAAAGATTAGTTGACAGAGCGAATATATTGGCAAATTTCGGGATATATCTATAATATCTGTATATATAGGATAAGACTATAAGAAATTCGCTAAAGCACATAAGAATTAGTAGGCAGAGACAAGAGTTGGATGCCACAGCGAACCAATCCCAAAATTCGCCAATGTATTCACCCTGGCAATTAATCTTTTTCTTTTCGTGTAATATATTTGTCTCTGTTGCATTAAGAACGGAGATTCCGAATCCTCCGGGCAGGTGGATGAGATGGTCCCAACGTCACGGCCCTCGGCTGCAACAGTGAACCATAGATCCGAAATGAAAAAGGTACAGCGAGATTATAAACGAAAATTAAGAGTTAGTTGCTCTAACTCAGGTTCTAGTAGATATTATTCAGCAAACTAACTGATTTCAGTTCCGGAAGTCAGTTAATATTCAGATAACTAACTGATATCAGTTTCACAAATTACTATATGGTAGTCACAAACAACAAGTGCTCAAGGAAAAGGGCCTAGTAGGAAAATATTACCAGTACTACGGATGTTTAGTTTGCGGAAAACACAATCTATACAAATAATTTCAGCACTCAGTTGGCTGATGGCGTAAGCGCTAGCTTCACTGTTATTCAATTTATTTGACGCACGTCACATCGACGCGTCCTCGCAACAATATCCTATCTGTTTTGCTGCCCGAAAGACTAGCCAATCTGTTTCGTTTCCCCCCCTAAAGACTAGCCTATCTGTTTTCCGGCAACCTCTGCAGCGCCGCTGTGTTCTTTTTATTGTAAGTTTGCTAATATGAACAGAAGAAGAAAGTAAACACTGCAGCGCGTCCCTTACAGATCAAGAAACAAATGGAAATTTTCCTTTTTTTCTACTGTTAATATTAGCAAGCCCACAATGAAAAGAAGACAGCGCTGTTGAGAGTGCCGAAAACCAGATAGGCTAGTCTTCCGGGGCAGCAAAACAGGTAGGATATTCTTGAACGGACGCGTCACGCGTCGACATTCCTTTGCTTGTGAAAACTGTCTTATTCCTTTGGACGCTATTGTCACGTTATTTATCACGATTTAGCTAATGTGGCAGTTTTTGCATAGTAACCACATGCATTTAGTACAGGCGGTACGGGAAATTAAAATTAAAATTGTGATACCAGCAGGCCACTTGGCACAGTTGTTCATAACACCGAAATAATTGATTTGGCCGGCAGCGCCTACCTGAGGTCACGTGCGGTGGTAGGTTTTTCGGGGGTTCAAGTTAGAAAAACTACCCCTAACACCGATTGTGCTGCAGATTTGCTAAAGACATGATCGAGGGGTCTATTCCACCATTATTGCACTCGAGCAACTAAAATGTGACAGAACAAATACTCAAACGGAAATGTATGTTCCTATTTATGGGTATTTTATGAGAAATTTCGCCAAAATGGGGCGTAATTTACACTTATTTGCCCAGAACGTTATGAGTATCGATTCGATGGTTCTGAGGGCATGTGATCCGTTGGGTATGCTTAAAATGAGGATGGGGAACTTTTATCATGTGTTATGACGATCGGCGCACTGTCGGGGGCATCCAAAATGCAAAATATGGTAGTTTTGTGCTACAGGCGTGATCCAAAGGTCGATTGAACCCGGGAAGACCCGAGAAACGCAAAAATGCAATCCAAAACCATTTCCAACCGACGGCTGGGAATGCCTGCTACCTGCCGAGCCCACGGACAGAGATACACTGTATTCTGTATTCCAACGAAATTCAGGGCACATTCATCTGAAATCCTCTATCTGCCCTGATGAAAGGCTGAGGTATGGCCGTTGCACCCAAGTCCAACACCAGGCACACACCATGCAACGCAGGCACAGCGGCCACTCTGCCACCGAGCGTAGATTGGTAGATGGGCGAGCTCAGGACACCGTCGGCGGCTCCACCGCCAACCTGAGCACAAGCACGTCTAGCTACGCCCTGTCACAACCGTAGTACTGGTAGTGTTTTCAGTACCAACTCATATTGGAGACAACCCCAAAGTGCATGGTTTATCAAATTGAAAAAAAAAAAAGCATGCTGTTGTGATTCATCATTTTGACGAATGTCTAAATCATGATTTGACGAAATGGTCATGTCCTGCTTTTGTGATTCATCATTCTGCTGTGGGCACGTGCAATCAGTCAACATGGCGTAAGTCTACAAAAATCCTTGGTCTGACGCCACATTAAAGAATCACCTTCGGACTTATATGCTATTTTGTCAATTCACTAAATCACAATTGGACTTGTGCCGTTTGGAGGAACTGCGCTTAAGTGAAACATCTTAATGACACTGGTCTTATTAAAGATAATTAAGTTTAACACAACCAAAATGTAAAGAATATGCTAACTAATCTGAAAATGAGATGAAACGTGAATTTTGGCTAAAGGTACTTACGCCGCGTTTACTCATAGTAGAACTTAGATAACCTTTAGAGAAATAAAAATGACGAACTGTCGTTCTGGCTGAAAAACTATTCAAAGTGAAAATTCAAACATTCACATCACACTTTGAAAACCTTGAAACATCGATAACTTTTTCCAGACACTGCGACACACGAACTCGATTTTGAGTTACCGAAGTGGACGCTTGGTGCTAGGCGTGCTGGCAGCAATATTTAAAAACACACTTACACAACTTCGTGCCCCCTCCTAACTCCCCTCTCCTCGAATATATTGGCTTGAACGTTTTACATTTGCAGGGGCTTGCTTCAGACGGAAGTGCGACGGCAACTCTTGCCATTCAGGAGCACTACCTGATACGCCGAGAGGAGTGGCTTCGTGTGATGGAACATGCTGTCCGCAACGGCATTCTACCTTTGCTCGATTCTTTTCATCAAGACATGCAGAACGTTTTTAGTGGGCCGGAAAGGTAAATAGTGTGTTTTTTGTGGTTTTTTTGTGAATTACATTCTGCTAAATTTGTCGATTCCCTCTGAATTCAGAGTAATATACTAATGTCTAGGAGGATTGCTTATTATAAAACGAACCGAGTATGTATATACTCTTCTTTAGTATGTAATCCAGTAATGCATAAAATAAGAATATGTTACATACCGAAGTTTTGTATTTTTGGTTAGTAAGTCACATATGATCAGACATATAATACCTTATGGATTTTCAAATAGAAAAAGATTTTACCCTTGGTTGTTTCTTGGGATTTTTACGTACTACGTGTTCCAAAACACCAATGCAGCATTTTCACTTGCGTATTGAAGTACTTTTATATCACCCATGTCTCATCAAAAGCTTGTTTCTATACAATAACCATTGTTTTCCAAGTTTTTCCGAAAAGAATAATCGGAAAAAAATCCTAAGGACTGCACAGTATTCAGATCCTTTGTTAATACGGAGCGTTTACTTTGCAACTGTAATTGTAATTGCAAAGCATCACTTTGTAATTACAAAGTAAACGCTTCGTAGTTACAACGGATCTAAATAGTGTGCAGTTCTGGAAAGCATTGCTTTGTAGGAATTTAACAGTTCTCAATAGAGGTAATAGGGAGTAGTCGGGTCGGGACACGATTTTGGATAGTGGATACCCCCTCGCGGCACGTAGTCTTGCGTACACCTACCCTACGAACCTCCAAACATTTGTTTTGTAAGTTAGTCAAAACTTGCTTTTGTGATGCTTAAGGTGTGCTCTTCCCTTCTTGCCCCAGGTCACGCGCAGCACTATCCCTGCGCTCAGGCCTCGGCGAGGTGCGGCTGGCACTAGCACCTCTGACGGTGGCGCACGGCGGACTGGCTGCACCCAGGGAGCTGCAGCTGTGCGCCGAGCTGCTGGACGAAAGCCTCGGGGTCCTGGTGTCGCTGCTGGATGAGATTGAAGAGTACCGAGAGCAGCTTGCGACAGCGGCGAGCGTGCAGTCACTCAAGTCCAGGATGGTTTCTTGGGACATCGATTTCTGCACGGGGGACGGCGAAAATAAAGAGGAGCTCAAAGAGGGTGTAGCGGTCCTCGAGAAAGCTATCAGGTAGCGTGTTTGAAATGGGTCCAACAAAATTCGTGCCCACCATCCACTGCTGTGTGCCGTGGATTATTAACCAAGATGACGATTGCTGGTCAAATTTCTCCCTGAGCGTCGTATCCCAGGTCATTTAAGGGAAGCCAAGTTTCGAACTTGGGCAAAAATTGATGGTGGGATCTCGAAAAGTGGCAGAAGGAGCCCCCCCCCCCCCCCAATGTATACTTTGGGGTGGGGTTAGGGGGAAATGTTCGCCATTATAAGGAATGGAGTAATTTGATCGGAATTGATATAAAGACATGTACAAAGTTTGGGCAGGGTATTTTGGGTAAGTGAGGGAGCCACGATGTGGTTAATATGGTGTAGGCTCTCCCGCCGATAGTGGGCTAAAAGACCGCCGCGGAAAGACGGCACATTCGTAGTTCCAGAAGAGCCCGGCAACGGTCGACGCCAGCGCTCCTGGCAGCTCTTCTGGAACTACGAATGTGCCGTCATTCCGCGGACCCCTTAGATAGCTCAGAGCCGCCACCGTATTAACTACATCAGGGAGGAAGCACAAACGGAACAGCCGAGAAGCTGGTGGATCCACCATAGACGGCGAAGTGCGCCGTAGACTCTGCATCACCACAGCTCCGCTACCTTCCCCTCTAGAGAATATATCTTCCCCGCGCACCAGGGGCAGAGACGGAACCAGCATTGGACTGGACACTTCCGTGCCCGCCGTTCCGCTTACCCGAAATAAAAGACGCGCATGGCATGACTCCTTCATTTTCAGCGTTTAAGATTTAGTTATTTAGTTTTAGTTCTTAACCGCAATGTCGTGCTTTCATCTAAATGTGTTCTGTATAACATTATTTTTATCATTACTTAGGGCAAACCTTGTTTTGGAGAGGCATAACATGGCAATGCACAGCTATAAGCAATGGGCGTTCCCGTTCGCTTCCGAATATCTGAACCGGACGTCACCGTCGATGGAGGAACGCACTGTAAGAAATGGTGATGGCGCTGCGATAAGGTGAGTGTCTTTGAACGCGTAGAGTAAAACGTCATCACACAAAAAACAGATTAGCTACATCCGGGATAGGTAGAAAAATTAGCTGTAGCAACTCACTTCTTCACCATCCTAAGTACTGACAAGCCACTACGGGTATGGCATTAGCCGCCAGAACTAGAAATTTCGCTGGCCTAGCTTATATGAGTACCGATCACGAATCCAGCAAATCACATCAGCTTTCTCTCAGCTAATTTGTTTTGCGTGCTCTTTCGAAAATCACGCCAAACGCCAACCCTGCAACGCTATTCGTGCATTGACGGAGGCCCTGGCAGAGATGCGTGCTTTCGCCAGCATCGGAGGGCTGTGCGTGCTTTGCAATAGAGACAGGCAATATGCAAACAAACTGTGTAATGTTTGGAGCAAAGATAAAGTACATTCGCCTTTAAAAAGAAATGACAAGAAAGTGAATGTCCAATGATGTTTTGACAAAAGGGCGAATGTTCACAGATGTTTTGACAAAAGCGGCGAATGTCCACACCTGACTTGTACATGTTGTATCGGTTAGGTTTCTAATGCGGGCATTGATAGACGTTTTATCCATAGCGGTTATTCGTACAGTCGCCCAAATACCGCTATTTTTGTCCAGCGACAACCTCTTCACTCGCTTCGCTC